ATGCCGGCTGTGCCAGCCTCTCCTCCCAGCAGAGCTGCTCCATCCCTCGGCTCACCCTGGTGCCTCCTCTGGGCTCTCTCCAGCTGCCCCAGCTCCTTCGTGTGCTGGGGCCCTGAGGCTGGAGACAGATCTGAGCAGGGCACTGGGGCAGAATCTCCCCTGCCCTGCTGCCCAGCACACAGGTGGTCTCTGGGTCTGTTGAAGATTGCAATGCAAGATGTTTTCCATTACCATCTGTATGGCAGATTACCTTTGTCAAGTGGGCAGTTTGCCTTATCTCTCTCTCTGAGTGACCACATTCACACCTCCCTGGGGAGGGGACATTGCTGATAACAGCTATTGAATGTCACTGCATGGCTGATAAGAACTGTAACACCCCATTGGGAGATGTGAGCCCAGGGGGAGGAGCCAAGCATTGCTACCCAGATATAATCCAGAAGTTTTGAGACACCAGCACGGCTTCTCCACTGGATTCCCCAGAGGAACAGCAGCTGCCTCTCCTTCCACTGGATCTTCAGAGGAAGAATACATCCTTCTCTACAGGATCCCTGCTCCAGCAGAACCACCCCTGACACTGCAGGAGGGCTCAGCCACAATTCCAATGGGACTGCCACCAATACCCTGACCCACAGGGTGTCAGGTTGGGTTCTGACTCTGGCAGTGTTGCTCTAGTGAACTGCATTCTTTATTTTATATTTTATTTTTTCCTTCCCTATTAAAGAACTGTTATTTCCTGCTCCCATATTTTTGCCTGAGAGCCCCTTAATTTAAAATTCATAGCAATTCAGAGTGGTGGGGAGGGTTTACATTCTCCATTTCAGGGGAGGCTCCTGCCTTCCTTAGCAGACTCCAGTCTTTCCAAACCAAGACAGGGTCCCATACACAGGGCTGGGGCATCTCCAGCTCTCTCCCACCAGCACCCCCAAGTCCTTCTGCCAGGACTGTTCTTGATCTGCTCATCCCCAGCCTGGACTGATCCCAGGGGTTGTCCCAGAGCAGATAAACCATTAGCACTTGGACCTGTATAACCTCATGAGATTCCCATGGATCACTTCTCCAGCTTGTCCAGGTCCCTCTGGATGTCACCCCATCCTTCAAGGGTGTCAACAGCACCAGTCAGCTTGGTGTCACTTACATCCTTGCTCCTGCAGGGAAAGTGCTTTCTCCTCAGAAAGCATTTACCCTACATTTCTGTTACACAGGGCTCACTTCAGCCCAGGCACTCTTGAAGAAAAGCCAAACCCAGTGAAAACCAGGCTGAAAGCTTTTAGAAAGCCCTCATGCCTAGCAGCTCTCACCAACAGGGCAGAACTGCTTCCTTTGGGAAAGGAAAATGCCTCTCCCTTTTCTATTTCTGTTTTTCCACCAAGAGACCTCTTCCTTCTGGCATTTGTTTTAAAATGTAAGGAAAAAAATGTCAGCTTATCCAGGCCTCAAACCAAAGCTTGTAGAAGGCAGGGGAATGTCTCCTGCTACCTGCAGAGCAGCTTTGGACCACACATGAAAACAAGCAGTAACATCACAGAAGGTGATGGAGCTGCAGATCCTTCACCATCAAAAGCAGATCAGGGTTCTGCAGGGCTTGTCTCCACACAGGGTGGGCTCACCTCACCCTGAATAACAAATGAGATGTTTGAAAACAGGGGAACAAAACACAACTTGAGTTTAAAGGCTCTTCTCCCAGATGACAAGCCATGGGACAAGAGGAGATGGCCCCAAATGGCACCAGGTGATGTTCAGATTGGCTATTAATGAAAATTTCTTCTCTGAGAGAAGAGGCAATGACCAGGCTGCACCAGAGGATGTTTAGATTGGGTATTAATGAAAATTTCTTCACTGAGAGGAGAGGCATTGACCAGGCTGCACCAGGTGATGTTTAGATTGAATATTAGTGAAAATTTCTTTTTTTGAGAGGAGAGGCATTGAGCCAGGCTGCACCAGGGGATGTTCAGATTGGGTATTAGTGAAAATTTCTTCACTGAGAGGACAGACATGGAACCAGGCTGCACCAGATGATGTTTAAATTGGTTATTAGTGAAAACTTCACTGAGAGGAGAGGCATTGAACCAAGCTGCTCAGGGCAGGTCTGGGCTCAGTCAGGACTTGCAGACAGTGTGGACAGGAAATGAGCACAGACAGAGCTGCAGTCTGAAGACTCAAAACCAGACCAGAATGTGGAAGATAGACATGTAAAATATTAAGGAGAAAATCTCTCCAGAAAAAAAAAAAAAAAGGGTCAAAATCCTCTGCTTCCTTGCTGGAAAGGCGTTTTAAGTGACTAGTGGGGCTCCCCAAGCTGTCTAAGCACTGTAGTGTCAGACTGTAGCTGTTTTCTTAATAAACTTGGTAATTGGCATGAAAACTCACCCTGAACTTGAGTGTCTGGTTTCCTTTGCTCAATAAGAGCCTCTTTCCTCTCAAGTATGAAAAAAAAAAACCAATAAAAGGAATGAATGTCTGGCTGCTACAGCCAACTCCAATTTGCTGGATTTATTGTTAAATGCTGAGTTTTGAGACTGCAGTGCGATCCAGGAACATTAAAAAACAGCAAGCTCCTACCCCTCAGCCACTCAGCAACCTTCTACCTAGGAGAAATTACAATAACAAATTGATAAAAGCAATTAAATGCACAGCTCCCAGCAGAGATGAGAAAGAATTAAGAACAGAGCATGGAGAGCCCTGGGAAGGTTTGAATCAGCCCACTAAAAGCCATTTCTGCAGCAGGGTGGCTCCAGAGGAGGGGCAGCACTGCCAACAGAGTCCAAAGTCTCCAGCATTGTCAGCCCCAGTGGGCTGAGTCCAGATTCTATTCTTAATACCCTGAAAACCCAGGTTTAGAACTATGAGATATGATTCCTACTCTAATTTGAAACTACCCACACGCTTGGCTCCTGAGCTGAGAAGTGAAGAACACAAAAAACATAAAAAAATGCAGCTCTCTCCATGAATTTGTCAATACCCACTGAGAGCAGAATTCCCAGGAGGCAGCAGGGTTTCTCCCCAGCACCACAGCACACACAGCCTGCCCCTCCTGCAGCATTCCTGGCCTCTGCCTTAGCTCTCTGTGTCACTCCAGCTCTGGAGGTGGCCCAGCCCCAGTGCTGCAGTCACCAAAGATCAGCTGCAAATTGCAAATTGCACCTGAGCCGGCCAACCTGAGTGTTGTTTCTCAGTAAAGCTCAGCACCAAGTGACAAGACAGGGCTCCTGCACTCTGTACCAGGCCCAGTGACACATTCCTGCCATACTTTCCCTCTCTCTGAGCTCCCAGGCCCTCCCAGGCTGCAGCCCAGGCGTGCTCTGAAAGGCTGGTGAGGGCTGCACAACCAGGCACACAGTCCAATTCCTCCATTTCCAGTGACACAGCATCAATCTCCCTAACCCAGGGAGTAAAATCTGCCCTGCTCAAACTGCCAGGAGCCCTGCTTGGGCAGTGCCTCTCTGAAATCTGTTTTGCCATCTGGGGAGGATCTGTGCTCCCCACCACAGGGCTTCAGACCTTCTGCATGCCAGGGCTTCTCCAGAGTATCAGTGGTTCCAGATAAAGCAGTTATTAACAAAGTTTTTTGTGAGGATTAAAAGGTTTTGAGTGAGGTAGCCTATTTGAAAGTACAACTGAAACCTGAATTTCTATCCTGTAGCAAGGACTGCCAAAGTGACAGGAGTCCCCTGCATCCTGTGACACCTCCATGCTATTGTCACTGGTTTCAGTGGTTTCATGCTGCGAGCAAGTTGCTTTCTTTGGGCTTTTTTTTTTCTTTTTTTGGTTTTGTTTCCAATCTTTAACATCTACCATCCCTTCCACAGACAACACAACAAGACACTGCAGAAAACCTATAACCATGTCAGAACCTGCCTGACATAAATCCCTCTGAAAGGCTTCTCTTCCCTCAATTCCCACAGGCTGCTTTTCCAGTTGTGAGCAGGGATTGTTTCCAGGAAAATCTGGATGCAGCACAGGGCTTATTTTTGCTTTTGACCATCATCTCTGGAACCAGTCTAACAGCAGCAGCAGCAGAACATTCACATCTAAGCAGAGAGAAAGCTCAAAGCACCTGCTCATCTGGAACAGCCTTAAGGGGCAGGGCTTCCCCAACATGAGAAAGGAAAAGGTTGCATTGCATCTCTGGGTGTTGCTGTGGGAAAGGAAGCCAGGAGAAGAGGAGCTCTCTGTGATGAGCTGATTCTGGCTCCCAGCATCAGCAGCCTGAGCTGGAACAAGGGAGACTCCCAAGCAATGAATCTCCTGCAGCTGCCAAAGGTGAGCAAAGAAGCTTGGAATGAGTGACCTCCCTCTGCAATGAGGCAACAACCACCTCCTAACGAGGAAGGGCAGGAGGTGCCTTCTAGAATGAGGCAGAACCTACTGGGAGGATATGACAGCCCAAGACATTTCCCTGCCAGAAGACAGCAGAGAGCAGCTCTCATTAAATCATTAAAGCAGGGCACAGTGCCAAACTGCCCACAGCCCTTTGAGAAAGCAAGCCCCACCTTGCAGGCTGTGCCTTCTCCAAGAGGTGTTGAATAATACCCTTTCCTTGGCTCAGAGATGGGGCAACTGAGAGGTGCCTTAAAAACTTTAATTCCATTTTCAGTCTCATGAGAAGGGTGAGACAATACAGATATTATAATTCACGCTATCACAATCAGAAGCCAACTATTTTCAAATTACAATACATTGTAAGTGTTTTTCGGCTTATCAGTTTTTTACCTCATCATGCTGTAGATGTATTAAAACCAATCATCTAAAACTACCCATCGTGGGTCCCACTAGAATGAATCTCTCTTATTTGTAAGGCTATTTTTTGAAACTTTTTAGCTCTATTTCTCTCTCAACAACATCTCTCCTATTCCACGGCATTTCCAAACCAACATTTAGAAGGCAATTCCTTGTCTCAAATTCAGACACAAACACATACTATGTGAGAACTCCCCACAAACCCATTTCCCACAGGAGCTGGCTCCATCCTGTTGCTGTGTGTGTGTGTGGGGGGACCATACCTGCAGTGAAGATCTGCGTGGCCACGGCCAGGAAGGCGTCGGACACCACGGACTCGGAGTGCAGGGAGATGTTCAGCTGCCGCGCCACGTTCCGGTACACGTTGGGACGGATGTACTCCAGCTCATCCCCTGCCAAAACACAGCAGGGTCAGCTGGACACAGCACCAAGCCCTGCTCCCACCCTGGAGGAGTCCAGGGATGCCATCAGGTGAATGAGATCTAGCTCATCCCCTGCCAACAAACAGCCAAGGTCAGCTGGACATAGCACCAAGCCCTGCGCCCACCATGGAAGAGCCACAGGTGTGGTAACTCCAGGGATGCCATCAGGCAAAGAGTCTGAAGCCCTATGGAAACCCAGGGCACACAGGGAATATTTCTCTATCTGCTCTGGGGTGCCCTGATCCCCAGGGGAGCACTGGCTTTGACCCTCATTCATGGAGAAAGTTTCCCAGACTTCAAAAGTTTCCTAGACTTCTTAGATTGGAATCTACTAAAATGTGGAATAGATTATAGAGTAGTGTAAGTGTATCACTTGGTGAGAAATTGAGGTTTTGGGGTTTTTAGTGCGTTGTGGATGGAAACAAGATGGAGGGCACAGGGTGTTGTCCTGGGTTTCTTCTTCATGCTCCTTCTCCATGGGTTTGGGTGGCTTTTTATGATTGGGCAGAAAATCTGCATTGCGGGCTCTGTGGGATCAGTTATTTGGTTAAAAGGGAAAATAATCCAGGTGTCAGTTCTTAATTGGATAGTTTAGTCTTAAAAGACCTTGTACCAAGAGATTGTTGGCCATTTTGTGCCTTCTAATGAAAAGCTGCTGAACTCCCAGCAGTGAGACTGTTTTACTGATAAGGAATAATAAACACCTGGGTCCCAACACAAACTACTGTCTGGAGTGCCTTCAATCCAGACCCAGAAAACCCCAAAACTGAAACCCCCACAAAGCCCAGCTCCACCTGAGTTTAGGCAGGCACAGGAGTGCTTAGGGTTGCTCAGAAGCAATTTCCTCCCATCTGTGTGGAAATCACAAATCCTCTGAACAGACAGAGACACAGCTCTCTCCCAGGGTTTTCCTGGGAAGCTGTGAGAAAGTTCAGAGAAAAGAATGAGGAACAATTCTTGCCTCCACTTGCTGCACCTATTGTTGTGCACATGTGGAATGCGTTAAGGAGATTTGTTTACCAAAGGGTGATTTCTTAATTGGATTCTGGTGATGGTGTTTTGATTCATTGACCAATTGGATCCATGGGTGTCGTGACTGTCTGGCAAGAGCAATGGGTTTTTCTGAATAGTATAGTATTGTGAAAAATGTCTATTTTATGATTGGCTTTCACAAATATTAAAATGAATATTACATGTGTTATGTTAGAAAGTTATGCTGTATTAATTTTCTTAAGTAGTGTGCTAAATATAGTTTTAGGTTATAAAATAATGTTAAAACAGAAACTGTGCTAGGTAAGATTTTTTAAAAGAGAGGAATGAGGTACTCCCACTGAGACAGCAGCCACAGGACACCTAAACATTTCAGAGAAAGAGAATTTGTTGTTCACTTATCAGAAGAAACGAACTTCTTCCTGCCTTGCTCAGCCCTGAAGATGCTGTCAGGATTCAGAGGAAGAAGCTGACAGTGACCAGACAGAATCCTGTGTTTGAATGGAATTTATACATCATGTATGAGGTGTATGAATATGCAACAGGTTATTGCTTTTAAGGGTTAAGCCTCTGTTAACGTGGGTCCTTTTTCAGGCTTATTTTGCCCAGAAAGAGGTACCTGGACTGTCCATAAATCTTTGTTTCTATTGTCTCATATTGTCCTAAATCCCAATTGTCCAAAGTATTATTACTCTAATTATATTACTATTTTTATAACCATTTTAATACTATTAAACTTTTAAAATTTTAAAAACAAGTGGTTGGCGTTTTTCACAGTATCATATAATAAAGTACAATAAAGCAATTTTTCAGCCTTCTGCAACCATGGAGTCAATGCTAATTATTCCCCAGCAGGGAATGCTACTCCCATACATCTGCACCCTGGGACTCCTAAAGGGAGCAGGGACAGGCAGGGGCCCTGTACCAGTGGTGTGGCTGCAGTAATCCCTGATATAAATTCTGTTCCTAGGCTGGCTCCCTGCCTTTCCTCCAACACAGGAGACAGGCCTCAGATAAGCAAATCCATGCCACTTTATTTCAGAAGTGAGAAGGAGGCATGTATGTGGTGTTGTGAGGTCCCCAGGACGAGATGAGAGATGAGAATTTGACTCCATGTTCTCAGAAGGCTGATATTATATATTATATTATATTATATTATATTATATTATATTATATATTATCTTTACTAAAACTATACTAAGAAAGAGAAAGAATACATCAGAAGGCTAAACAAGAACGATAATGAAAGCTCGTGACTGATTCCTCAGAGTCCGACACTGCTGATGGTGATTGGTCATTAATTAAAAAACAATTCACCTGTTTGGATAAACAACCTCCAGACCACATTCCAGAGCAGCAAAACATGGAGAAGCTGAGGCTTCTCCTCTTCCCAGGAGAAGAAATCCTAGCAAAAGGATTTTTCAGAAAATATCATGGTGACACATGTACATCCATTAAGAGCAACGCCCTTCCTCAGCACCCCATCAGGCTTGTACAAAAATGCCTCCAGCGCAAGAGAGTGACTCAAGAATGCTGAAGGCTGATGAGAGCCAAGGATCCACCCAGAGCTGCACAGCATTAATTAAACAAAGAGACTGCCAGCTGTTTTATGCTCACACTGGCACTTGAGAGTCAATCTGGAGTTCTTTCTCTCCTTCAAATGGTAAAAGAGAAGTTCATCTGCATGGCTGACTGCTCAGCAGCAACGTACCTGACACACACAGAGATGTGTTTTCACCTTTCTGCCCAGCTGGGAAATGGCAGGAGGTGTTTAGGCCAGCTTGAAGACCAAAACAAAAACAGCAAGGACAAGCAGACAACTCTCTCCTAAAGGACTGAACTATGGAGCTTGGGAAACAACAGTAAAGCTTTTCCTTTTGTAGCAAAATAAATAATTTCTTGAGTAGTAGAATTAATAAAGCCCAGTTTCCAAGGGATTTCTCTCACTGCAGAGGTTCATGGATATTTAATGAAGGTTGCACAGCTGCTGTAGGAGCATGACACAACACAAACACCGCATGGGACCAAGCCCCTTTGTGCACAGAGAGCCCTTTTTGGCTTAGATTTAGGACACACTGTGCTCCTCTCCTGCACAAGGGTGCTCTGGGAAGAGGAAGAGTATCCCAACAACTTTATATCCCACTGCAAGACCCAGGTGACTTGGCCCAGCCAGGGGGCAACTGATCTTCTTCAAAATTTCATTTATGTGAGAGATAAAAAAGAAGATCTCACTGCATTCAGGACTTTTTCATAGAGCCATTAGCTACTGATCTTTAATTCATTTATCTGGCGCTCAGCACAAAGGCAAACCCCAGTTCTGCAGAATTCCACAGCTGAGCTCTCCTAGCCCTTTCTGAGTAAGGGATTGTCCCCTGTTTGACAGAAAGAGGAAGCCTGCCAACACATGGTCAGCCCTGATAAGAGCAAACCTTACTTCGACTACTACAGCAGCTGTTTTCTCCTCCCAGGCTTCCTGGAAAATGTCAGGAAATGGGGATAGCCCTGCTGAGCTGGGCCCAGGAGCCTGGGATCAGCACTTGGCAGCTGCCACTGCTCCAACTCCCAACAAGCAGCTCCTGGAGGCCCCAGATGAGATCAGGGTTTGGTTGGAGGCACACATGCCCTGTCCTGCAGCAAGGCACAGGGCAGGCAGCAGCATCCAGGGAAGGGAAGCACAGGAAAGCATTCCCAAGCTTACAGAGCCTCCCTGCCCAGCAGCACCAGGACCTCTACATTGGTGCTGGTCTCCAGTGCAAAAGGATTTTTCAGAAAATATGGTGACACATGTACATCCATTCTGATTTGCAACATTTAGAGCAATCTGGGGGCCTCTTCTCCTTTCTCCAGTGATCATGGAGGAGTTTGCAGGGCAGCAGTGGCAGTTTCCATGTGCAGAAGCTCACTGCAGTGGTCAAAGGGCACCTCCCTAGGCCTTGGCCAGAGGAAATACAAGTTCAGATAAACCAGCTGAAGCCCAAGTCCAGCAGCAGCAGTGCCCTAGAAGATGCCAGATGCATTGTAGCAATCAAGTTACTCCCTCTGGAGAAAACAGTGCAAAAACACCCAGCTGAGAAGGGCTGCTCTATGTGCTGTGGGAACTGGTACCCAGCTGGAGACCTATGCTCACAGAATCTGTTTGCTGCTGGGCTTTCTTACACTGCTTTGTGATTTTCAGCTATTGCAGATCCTCAGAAAAAGGCAACTTTGCAGGAACCCTGAGCTGAGCAGTGCTCCAAGAGACTGAGGAAACTCAGAGCTGTTTAGGGAAGATCACCAAAACCAAAAGCAGAAAAGAAAAACCTCTTTATTGCAATAGTCAAAGGGCACCTGCCAAGGCCTTGGCCAGAGGAAATACAAGGTCAGATAAACCAGGCCTATGGCAAACACAGCACCTTGGTCTGGGCTGCCTCATTTGCCTCATACCATTAGGTTTTACCATGTCTGACTCATTAATTGCACTAATTAGCTGCTAAGCCTCACTGAGCTGATGGAGTCTCCCTCCCTGTGACCTCCAACAGCATTGCCTGTGCCCAGCACTTCTGCTGGCCCACCAGAGCCTCTGCGTGCAGGTGGGCTAGGAAATGTCCCAACTTCCATCTCCACAGGCTTCTCTGCACACTGTCATGAAGGAGAAATCTGCTCCTGCTTGTTGCACTGCTCAGGAAAGGGCTGAGGATCAGCATTGCTGGCAGGTGGCTGGACACCAGCTGGCCTTGTGCTGGTCAGAGCATTGCCTGTGCCCAGCCCTTCTGCTGGCCCAAAAGCCTCCTGCAGAACCTCAGTCTGGTGCAGATCCCTCCATCCCAGCTGGGCTCCCCCTGCCAGGACTCACCAAGCCGCAGCAGTATGGTGGAGACCTCGGCCAGCTTCCCCCCGGGCACCGGCGCGTTGTGCTCGGGTTTGCTCCAGCTCACTCCTGCCTGGACCAGCCTGGAGTTGATGTAGTCTCTGCACAGAGCCTTGGCTTGGGACACAAGCTCCTTGTCAGTGGGAGACCTGTCAAAAACCTCCATCACCTCTGCAGCAAAGACCGAGGAGCGACGCAGCACCTCCATCCTGGTCTGCTGAATGCCCAGCTCTGCAAGGCTGAGCCACAGGAGAATCTGTCCACCAGGAGATGTCCTCAAGGTCTGTCAGAGATCCCAGCAGCTCTTCTCCACAGGCCACTTTTTCGTTTTAGCTGGTAAATAAAAGCATCTGTGAGTCCTCTAGCATTGCAAAGATGTAAATCAGGAGCTCAGGAACACAGTCATGCCCAAGTCAGTGGCATCACATTTGCAAAACATTTCTCTGGGTCCACCTTACAGACAGGGGGAAAAGTCTTGCATCTCTCAGCCACTGACAATCCCTGGCAGCATGGTCCACAGAAAGGCTGCAGTTTGGAACTCTCAAGGTGTTTCCTCTTTTCCCATTCAGATTTGGCAGTTCTACAATTACCCATCAGACAGACTAGACAGTCAGAGCATGGAAACACTTCATACAATGTGCTGACAATCTCAGCTTGTTTCAATTAAACTGGAAAAAAAAAAAAAGAACCCCAATTACCAGTTCCAGTAACCTCAACCAGATGTCAACAGACATTCCAGCTCAGTAGGTCATGGATCTTTCTGAAGAAATGGCACTGTTGCAAGAACAAGGCTATGGGAGCATTGGAAATGCCTTGATGGAGACACTTTTCTGAGACACATTCTCGGTTTAGGTTTTGGTTGTGCCATGCTTTTTCCCCAAAACAACGTGCATACTACTAGTTGAAAACATCTAGCAATAGCAGAGAAAGCAAAACAGAAATGTAGATTTTTGAAAAGGTTTAAGCTGTGAATGCCTTAAGGGAAACGTGAAAATTTCTTCAGAGGCACCTGAACTCATCTGCTGATCTGAGTTTTTAACCCCGTGCTGCTTCTGAAGTTAGAGTCAGACCAGTCTTTATTCAGAGGTTAATAAATGCATTTTTCAGTCTGCATTTCATTTTCACACACCTACTTACAATGACCATTTTCAAACAAAACACAGCCAGTTATCCCAATTTCCCCAAGGAAAAACATATTTACCTCTCATGTTGCACTTTTTTCCCCCTCAGTGATTTCTTTTTGGGTTTGCTTTGGTGTTTCTTTAGAAGATCTGCATCGCTGGTTTGGGATTCCCAGGTGGCTGTCACCCTCCTCTGCTGTGCTTTCCACGGGGCTCTGTCAGCAGCACATCCCAGCTGAGCTCCACCGGGATCCTTGGGCTTGTTCTCCTGCTTTTAAGGGACCAGGCGCCGAGGAAAGCTTCTGGCTTTAGCCTTGTAAGGAAGATGAAATAAGCGGGAGGTGGGGTTGCTGTACCCAGAGGGACAGCTCTCTCCTCCCCTCTCGTCTCTCTTAAGGAGGCTCGCTGCTGTTCTGCGCTGGGCTCCAGGCTCGGGGCGAGGCTGCGAGCATCATTTCTGATCACACAGAAGGGGATGGATACACTGCTGAAACAGGGATTATTCCTGCTGGATTCCCACAGCAGCTCCTGCAGAGTTGATGCTGGCCAGTCATTTCATACCGCAGCCAAGTGGGGGAATTGTGCTCTGTCATATTCAGCCGTGGGTTAATCCTACACTTCAATCCCTGCCATCATTTTGGACTATGTCCCTGCCCATCCAGGGGGTTTCAACCCCCAATACATGATCTGTAAGGTCCCTTCCAACCCAAACCATTCTGTAATTCTAAAATGATTTTATGATTAACATAGAGATTTTGGGAAGGATGAAAGTTGGACAAGTCTCACAAATATGGATGCTCAGCAGAAAGATTTTTGAATCTGAAAAAGGAATAGAAATGAAAGCAAGTTTTGATATAAAAGAAAAGAATCCATTTACTGGCTAACCAAGGAGGCAAAGGGTGTGTTAGTTAGAGGGGTTTTTATGACTTAGAGCAAAAGATAAACCCACCCCAAACAAGAAGATGTTTTTACCAAGCAGAAAGAGAGCACAGGCAAAAAAGTCAGCAAATGTTGCAAGTAGAAAAAAGGTCTCAGAATTTTCCACTGCAAGAAAACTGAAAAACAACTTCTAGCTTAAACTGTAATGTACTAACTTTTAGTGATTGGAGAATAGTAACATGAATATGGTAATTACAGTAGCTATGATAGGCTATAGATAATAGTTAAGGTATAGATTGGTTCTACTGTATGAAGATGCTCAGCAAAGAGAAGTATATAATGCATTGTAACCAAAAGAAAAGTACATAATGCAATGTAACCAAAACCAAAGGGTCTCCAGGCCTGCCTGCAGCTGGAGCTGACAGCTGTGGGCACAGCTCTGTCACCCACCACCCTGGACTGCTGTAACCTCTTGGATGGAACAAACTGCATTTTGGATACAATAAACTGCATTTTGGATACAATAAACTGCATTTTGAAGAGCTGCCTGGAATCCCACATCTCTCATTTCAGCTCTTACATAGAGAGCCACAGCTCAGGGCTAAGGCAAGCTGTGCTTGCAACTCCCCTGAACTATGAGCAGTCTGGTTAAAAAAAAGTGAAGTGGCTGTGTTGATAGGAAATAGTCTATCCAGAATGAAGTGTATTGCAGGAACTTGCCCACTTTATCTCAATGTGTTATGAAAAACATGTCAGCGAGTTCCAATATATTTATAAATTAATTTCAACGTCAACTTCTTGTTGCAACATTATCATATTGATGCCACAATGTTCAGCTTTCTTCCATGTCCATTTCAATAAACCACATGCAAACACTGGCTTTCTGTGTTACGATTTGAAACAAAAGAAGTTTTAATAATAGAAGTTTCCTGCAGCCAAGAATTTCTACCAAACCAAACAAAAATTCTCCCCAATAACAGTTTGTATATTAGCAACTGGGCATTGGGCATGTCTGAAACACAATTTTTCCTAAAGGAGGTCAGAAGTGAGACGTGACTGTTGTCATCTTGTTGCCTGCAAGAAAAGACAGAAGCAAGTACACCTCTCCCAGGTGCTGAGCACATAAATCCCTTCAGTACAACATGCACCAGTGCTGGTCTTTATCCCTCCAAATCAAGGGATAAAAAGGAACAAATGAACTGCATGAAAAACCCTCTTTATGTGACGTGCTGAACATTCTGGCCAGCAGCCAGCACAGATTAACACAAAGCATGTTGGCTGCTGTTACCTGGATTGCTGGAGCCTGCTTTGCTGTCCTGGAAAAGGACTGCGGTACCTCACACCCTGTAGATTTTCTGTCTGAGCTGGCTTTTTCAGGGAAAGGAGCAGAGTTAAGGAGAGGTACATGCAGTGGTCCAGCTGGGACCCCAGCTCAGCTCAGTGACGTCTTAATACAGTAGAACCAATCTATAACTTAACTTTTATCTATAGCCTATCATGACTGCTATAATTACCATATTCATGTTACTATTCTCCCAGATCAGCTCAGCTCAGTGGGAACTGTCCCCAGTAACAATTTGTATTTTTGCAACTGGTTATTGAAACACAATTTTCTGAAAGGAGGTCAGAAGTGAGATGTAGCTGTTGTCATCTTGTTGCCTGCAAGAAGACAGAAGCAAGAAAAAACACCTCTCCAAGGTGTTCAGCGCATAAATCCTCCAGTACAACATGCACCAGTGCTGGTCTTTATCCCTCCAAATCAAGGGATAAAAAGGAACAAATGAACTGCATGAAAAACCCTCTTTATGTGACGTGCTGAACATTCTGGCCAGCACCCAGCACAGATTAACACAAAGCATGTTGGCTGCTGTTACCTGGATTGCTGGAGCCTGCTTTGCTGTCCTGGAAAAGGACTGAGGTACCTCACACCCTTCAGATTTTCTGTCTGAGCTGGCTTTTTCGGGGAGAGGAGCGGAGTTAAGGAGAGGTACATGCAGTGATCCAGCTGGGACCCCAGCTCAGCTCAGTGGGGTCAGGGTAAGATGCCAATAGTGACTGTGCAGCTCCAGCACCACATGTGTTTGCTCCAAGATTCTCTCAGAAATCTGATTTTACCCACCAGCCTTACTAAAATTTAAATACAGACAAAGGCCTGTCCCCACAGAAGCTGAAATCAAGACTCTGTGCTACTGCCTACCCTAAACCCACCTATTCCCTGCACAGCGGGCCAGACTGTGTCTTGGAAAATTGTATTTTTGCCTTTGCCACCTTGATGGCTGAAAAAACCATTAAAAATTATGCCTTAGCTTCCTGCAGCAGCTGACAGCTTGACACAGGGGCCCTATCTAAACTGTTCCTATTCAGTGGGGCTGTGAAATGAGGAGGAATGTTTAAATATCACTATTGCTTTACTAATGATAATTTTTTTTTCCCAGAAATCTGGCAAATATGCAAGTACCACAGTGCTTCCCATCTCCCTGTGAGTGCCAATCTCATCCCACATGTGTTCCCTGCCCAACTGTCACAGCATGCAGCGCCCCCTCAACTTCCACCCTGCAGCAAAGACACAAAACCTAAAAGCATGAGGGGGCTGTGCATAAAAAACAGACTTTGTATTATAAAACCCCCACCCAACAGTGCATGGTATTCTACCTGTATTATTGACACATTTGTATTAAAAGTACAGTTTCATGGGGAAAGATGCCTCAATAAGTAAAAACAGATGAAACCACAGCATACAGCGCTCAGCTGACCTGAAAAGGAGAGGGTGTTACAATCCAAGGTGCTGTCAGTGTAATCAGAGCCCTTTTTTCCATAGAATGTTTATGCTTAGGGACTTGATCTATAATTGGAAGACACCTGTGGCAGAGGAATGACAAGCAACAGTGCAAAAGCAGTTTTTATCCCCCCAAAACACAGTTTCCAGTGTTGCTGCTCCTGGAATGACAGTGTTCCAGGCTCCACAGCACAGCTCCTGCCTCAGGTGGGGTGACCAAAACAGCTTGGAGCGCTCCTTTAGTTAAACCAGGGGACCACAAAGACATATTTTATAAATATGTCAAGTGGGAACAAACCCTGGAGAAGCCACATCAGCAAGAACACAGAGAGAATTTAATTGTGAACAGCTTCTGCTCAATATTAAGCCGTTCAGCTGCCACAGAAGGAGGTCTCTGGGAAGGCCTTTCAGCAGTTGAAGGAAAATACCCAGTGAA